ACACACTCTCTCTCTCTCACACACACACACACACACACACACACACACACACACACACACACACACAGAGTAATGTGATGATGAACTGGGTTATTCAAGGGTCTATTGATCACTTCTTCAGTCTCAAGCTAATAAACGTCTGAATATTATCATCTGTCAGATTTCTAGTCTAAACAGCCATTGTTTCTCAGCTGATTGTTGGCTGACATGTTTTAGGACTAATTTTAGGACATTTCTGGATAATGATCATATAAAACCTTTGTAACATTCGACAGAAAGGCCTTAACGGATCTGAAAAAGGTTTATCTGGTTAAAAATAATCTCCACCGTGACAACTTTCTGGTGATTTTAGCACGAACTAAAACAAATTCATGTCCACAGAGAGAGAGAGAGAGAGATCCGTGTAACGTCATGCTTTCCTCTGTATGCTGTAGAATCTCACGGAATAAATAAATAAAAAGAGAGCATTAAATGGCAAAACACTTCAGACTGACTGGATTTCTAGTGTTATTTGCCAAAAGGCTGGTGGACTGAAGAACTGCTGACAACAATAACATTTCATCCATTACAGAACGCTGAAAATATATAAAATTACTGTGCAGTTGTGCATAAAATCAGCTAAAGTAAATTTAAATAAGATGAGAATTTAATTTGAATATAATATTTACTGTAATTCCTTCCTAAGGTTAAAACTAATCTGCAAGACAGGTTGAGAACAATGTTATTTTAGTATCACTGATATACTGTTACTTATTACTATTAGTTTTATTTAAAAAATTTTTAAATATATTTTCTGTTTTAATTTAGTCAAACTTTTAATTTAGTTGTGTTTTGTCATGTTTAATATATTTTTTAATACGTCTATATAATTTTTAATTAAAATTTAATTCGCTTATTTTTAGTTTTTAGTACTTCAACATAAAATTCAACGTAAAATTGAGAAATGTTGCCTTGACAGCTAACTGAAAATTTTTTTAAATATTTTTTTCAGTTATTGATTCTTTTGTTTCATACATTATTCAAAAATAACATTTTTATTTTTTTAAAACGAAATAAACTAAAATTTAATAAATTTTTTTAAGTTTAAAAAAAAACTTAAAATGAAAACAGAAAATATAAAAATAAAATGTAATTCAAAAACTAAAACCAATAAAGTATATTAATAATAATAATTAAAAAACATTTTTTTTTTCAAATAATAAATATTACTTTTTTATTTTTTTAATGGTTTTTGTTTAGGCTAACGACAATAACCTTCTATGGTACAGGAAACTAGATATCATCTTATCAAACATTGGAAATAATCAACAAATATTTAAAAAAACTGTATACACGTGATAATACAAAAGTTTAAGTTAACCTCACACTGGATTACAGCTGATTGGTTAGGCATTGTTAAAGGTCACTTGAGGTGAAAGGTCATGACAGAATGGACACATTTAGGGGCGACGGTATTACCGTGGGTGAACAATAACCAGCAAATCACGGTAACCTTCTTTTAATGCTTACTCCAGAGGGATCGTCCCTATAAGTGCACTTGAAGTTGCTTTAGGGAAAAGCATTGCTAAATGAGTCCTTACTAGGGAAGACGAGTCGGGAGGGGGAATATCTCGGGGATTTAGACCCGCTCTGACAGTCAGGTGATGCTCATCCACTCGGTTCACTATAACAAATGACTAGTTACAATAATTCCCATATCAATAAGCAGCAAAAACCTTTGAGAAGATCATGCTGGTTTGGCTGATTCAAGAGATTAAACACACAACTCCCCGTCAAAGTCAGCAGTCTAGCTGTTCACATGGGTGTCTCAGCACGTAAAATCTGCTCTCGGAGGACATGAGTTGGATTACAGCATGCGGATGAGCTCGGCACAGCCATTTGAAGTCTGTGAAATCTGAGTTTTCCAAATATGGCAGTTATGCAATCCGTGTCAACACAGCCACCTGTTCATCATGCATTGGCTGCCTATCCTTTCTGAGATGATATCTAAAGACAAAGCGTGTGAAGAACACAAGAAATGGCAACATGATACGATGGATCTAATGGCCTCGCATTTTGGTCGTGAGCCATAAACAAGAGGGTTTTCATAGAAGTCAGATTGGGGTTCGAATGAAATTGGAGTAAAATATCAATCATTTTACCTTAGGCATACTTACAGAATGAGCAGATTGTAATGAAGCAAACTATATATATTTCACTACAATGGAAATATGATTTTTTTGGACATGTATCATGGTATTCTATTCCGCGGTACATTCAGAGTAATCATTCATACCATATAATATCAGTGCGGACATGTACCATGGTATTCTTTGAAGTACCTTGCAAATACATTCAATTTATACACCATATAATATCAATGTACTGCAGTACAGTACTTTTTCGAAAGTGTTTGTCATCTTTTGTATTTCGGTTTACATGCTTAAGAACAGTTATAATACACTGGAATCTAATCATCAGATTGATTAATTGATACCGTTCAGAATAAACAATTAACAAATCAACACCCCCTGTTGAAAAAAACAACACATGCTGGTTAGGTATGTTTTGACGCTGGGATGCTGGTTTAAGCTGGTTTATGCTGACCAGCATAAACCAGCAAAGGACCAGCATCCCAGCATCAAAACATACCTAACCAACATATGCTGTTTTTTTCAACAGGGCTCAAGCAGAATTTACGAGATAAGTCTGAAGCAACGCCTCGTATTTTGGTTTTTCCCATATCGTGAGCCATAAACAAGAGGGTTTTCATAGAAGTCAGATTGGGGTTCGATTGAAATTGGAGTAAAATCCAAATTGAAATAATTTTACCTGGGGCATACTTACAGAATGAGCTGATTGTAATGAAGCAAACAGCAGAGAACTGAATCTATATATATTTCACTACAATGGAAATATGATTTTTTTGGACATGTACCATGCTATTCTTGGAGTACCTTGTAAATAGCAATATAATTGCATAATATCAATGTACTATGGTACAGTACGTTTTTTTTATAAGTGTTTTTCATCTTTTGTATTTCGGTTTACATGCTTAAGAACAGAACACTCGAATCCAATTATCAGAGTTACAATTACACCAAAGCAGAATTTACTTGATAAGTCTGAAGCAACTCGTCTGAATCCCGAATAGGTAAAATTATAATTGACACACGCAATTCTGTTCGACTGTAATGTGCAGAATTATTAATATCTGACTGAGCAGGAATCTCCCTGAGCGAAACGAGCAGCTGCGCGCGAAAATATCCAGCGAGGCGCGAAAAATGCGCGCGTCTCTCCAAACGCGCTTAACGTTCACCATGCAATAACATCATCACATCTACATATTTCTGAGGGGAAAATCAGGCGGGTAAGGTAGGTGTGCTTACTTTTCCTCCTCCAGCTGTTGTTGGTACTGCTCTAACTCTTCTTGGGTCATTCCTTTAGCCGCGGCGTCGGATTTGTCTCTGTCAGATTTCTCTTCTTTCAGACCTCCTGTCAGGTTCTTCAGCTGACCGCCGACTACGTGTTTTACCATGAAATCCATCGTTAAATAGTGTATTGTTCCTTAATATCCCTGTTTTTTTGTCCAGAACTTCCAGTTAGGTCAATAGTAAGGTCTGTTTCTCCGCGATCGCCGAACAGAAACTCCGTCCGACGTTCAGCTGAGGTAAAGTGAAGTGAAGTGAACTGGATTCATCTCCTCATCTGAGTCACAGCAGCGGTTTGACTCCTCCATCCACCCAATCCCGTGTTTCCTCAGCCAGCTCTTCCCGCCCAATCCCACATACCGCTGGATTAAGCGTGCCAGCTCGCCGTTAACAGCTCGTGTTTATGGCAAGCCACAAGAGTCAGAATTATGCTATAGATAAATCACGGTTACTTTTTTTTTTTACTGCGTTTAAAGGGGTCATATGATGCGATTTCAAGTTTTCCTTTCTCTTTGGAGTGTTACAAGCTCTTGGTGAATAGATAAGATCCCTGAAGTTGCAAAGACTAAAGTCTCAAAACCAAAGAGATATTCTTTATCAAAGTTAAGACTCTGCCACGCCCCCCTAAAACGGCTCGTTCTAACACGCCCCCACATATCTACCTCACTATGTGGAAATATTAGCATAATGCCGCCCAAATGTGCACGCAAAGAAAGAAGGTTCTGTTACACCAAATACACCAAATAATGATCTTTAAAAAAGCATCATATGACCCCTTTAAAACGTGCGTTTGAGTTTTGCGGGCTAGAGTGAAATGTCAAAACGCATCGCGCGTCGGTTTTCGCAGCGTGTTTGTGCGCCTCCAAGTCGGTTAACGGGAATGACAGCGAGCAGGAAGGATTCAGAGCGTCTATGCAGCATCCATCTGGAGAGTGAGCAAATCCTGTGAAGAGAAAGTGAGAAAGTAAATGTGCGGAATTAAATTCAACATTCATAACCAAAGGAAAAGTTGTCGCCAACGTTTTAGTTTATTTGGAAAAGGGCAAAACTCTAATCCCAGAGATTATCATCCATGCGTATAAAGCTGTCAGCATCACCTCCACATGGATTATCATATGCAATAATAAAGAAACGGCACAAAGATGAGATATTTTACAGTCAGACATGTATTCTACATTAATCAAGTCAAATGTAAGGTTTATGAACACTTTGAATTATTTTAGCTCGCCTCTTTGTTTACACGTGTACAAATATGCACTTGTATGCAGAGCTGGGTAGATTACTTACAAATTGCTTGCTTACAAAATTCCAAATTACATGGCAAAAATTGTAGTTAGTAACATAATCCAGTACATTTCACATTTTAGGTAATATAATCAGATTACTTTTTGATTACTTTTGACCTTAATTTAATAATTAAATCATAAAAATGTAAAATTAATATAAATAATTTTAATAAATCATAAATTATTTTAAAATAACAACAAATCAAAATAAAATGCTTACTAGAAATGAAATATTTTATTTGTTTATCTGCATGTCATGTGACCATTAACCACCGTCAAAGAACGTGAACGTGCAAATGTGACACTAATGTGTGTGTGGGGGGGGGGGACTTCAATGAATATATTAGGTGAAAGAGGTTTAGTTGACAAAAAAAGTTTGTGAATGGTTGCATTACATGTAAATAAGAAATAACTTAAATTTGTGCATTTTAATGTGTTTGAAAGACAAATGCCTTCCAAAGACACAGTAAGACAAGGGCCTGGACAAGAAGTTGTGCAGCATGCTCCGTTAGAAAGGGCCTGATCTTTCTGATGTTGTGCAATGCAAACCTGCAAGATCGAGCGGTCTTTGCAGTAGCTGATGCAAAGCTGAAACACTTCTTAAACCTAAACTGATTTTTGTAAATCCAGTGGTCAAATGCTGTGTAGCCAGCTGACTGTAGTGACTGGTCTTTGTGTGAATGTCCACAAAACTGGAAGAATTTCTGAGTGTATGTAAGCACTCTGCTATTTTAGAAAGGAACATTTAAAAGAGGAATAATTATGAATATTGTGGGAATAATATGTAATCATGTAATCAATAAAAAAGTAACTGTAGTCTGATTCAGAGAATTTTAAAATGAAATTAAATA